TGGTTGAGTTGTGTGTTGTTATGTGTTGTATGTTGAACCGTTAAGGATGATGATAATGTTGTTGTGTTGTAAGTTGCTTATATAAATATATATATATGTTAATTCTTTTCACTAGCTTACCCTTGCATGTTTTCATGTGGTGTGGACTGCGATGATCATACTATGTATGGGAGTAGGGTAGGGATAGGTTGTTATGAGCGGTTGGAGGCCACTTGGTGGTAGGAACTGGAGTAGATGTTTTTTTTGTAGGCTACCTTGGAGTAGCATTTTGTTGGCGTTGTATATATTTATTTGTCCTATTGAGCCTTTATGGTTGGATAGATATATGTATTTTCTTATTATACTATTTAGTATTTATATTTTAGTGGTGTGTGGTGTTGTTCTGTAGTGTGACGGTCATGGCGGATCGTTACAGTTATATTCTCATCGCTATGGGAGTGTTTTTGCAGAAAAATGGGATAAAAATGTTTCCTAGAAAATTATATTTTTTTAGAATTTTTTTAAATAACTATTAAACATGGACAATCAATGTTTCTTATTTAAAATTTCCAAATAAGTAAAAATATTTCACGCATCAAACGCCCTCAAAGAATAAAATGAACATTATTATATTGCATTATATGCATGAAGTCAACATGCAATAATTGTGTTAGAGTAATGATGCATGTATAATAAAATTTTAAAATAATTTATACAATATTAATTTGTGTTTATCTCTCTTCATTAATAATAAATGAAGTAATAAAGGCAAATACATAAAGAATGATGTAAAGAATGATGTATAAGATATTATGCAATTTTGCTATACATATATCATTATTCATTATGTTAATGTATAATTGTTATATTCACTAGATAGATTACCATGTATCTTAATATTTTCTTTTTTGTGTACAATAATGACAATATAATAGAACATATGATAGAACATGACATTATGCATATTATTAGAAATGACGATTAAACTTGCACCCATAGGTATTCGATCTACCTCGACTCAATTTTGATTAAAAAAATTCTATTTTAACAGAGTACAAATACATGCGCAAGTTTTCCATAACTTAAAAGATCAAGTTTAGGTGTGAGTTCAAGTATTTAAGTTCTCGCCCCACTATTTTTTTTGTTATAACCAAAAAAAAATAATATATATATATATATATATATTTTTTTTTTTATGTGTGAATATATAAATATAAAAGTTAAAATTATGATTTTAATTTTATAAATATTAAAAATATAAATTAATTATTTTAACAGTTAAATAATTTAAATTATAACAATAATCAGTAATAAAATTAAAATTATATGTTTATCTAAAATATAATACACACCTCAACCACAACTGATGGAAGAGATTAGGAGAAGTGGAAGATGTAGCTTCTCCTTAGCTCTCCTTATGCACGGATCTTCAATCAAGGAGATAGGACCGAGAACTTGAACACCTTTAGAATAGGAATTCGTGAGGATTAGAAGCTCTAATCCATTGACGGAAGCATCCAAGCACAATTCTCAAGGGATTGCACACTTCAAAGAGTAGGAAGCTAGGTTTCCTAAGGGGATTGAAGGCACTCTCTTAAGGTTTTCTCTCTTGGATGAGTTCGGTGACTCTTGAGGGAATTTGGCTGAATACAAGTTCAGAAAATTCATATATTCAAAAGTGATGGTTATTCATCCAACTTGGCAAGATGTGCTGATGTCGAAAAGGGAAGGATGCATGGCATGAAAAGCCATGACTGCCATGTTTTCATGGAGTGTTTACTTCCTATTGCATTCAGTTCATTGCCAGTGCATGCTTTAAATCCACTAACTGAAATAAGTCATTTCTTCAAAGACTTGTGCTCTACCACATTGAGGGTTGATGATCTGGATGTGAATTGCTCGAAAGGTGTGTAAACCCTTATTTTGTTGGACTTGCCTGTTGTGTATGTGGTATGGAATTGAACTATGAGATGTTGTGTGGAATGTGAATGAAATGTGATTGTGGTTCTTCACACTTATGACCAGGGGTGAGCACGGCCCGGGATTGTTACATGGGTATCATGACCTTGGTTAACATGTCAGGGGTGAGCACGGCCCTGAGATAGGGATAACGTGACCTTGGCATAGTGTTATATCAGGGGTGAGCACGACCTGAGATTGTTAAATGGGTAGCGTGACCTTGGCATAGTGTGAAGTGTAAGATTGTGTGGATTGTGATGAATTGATGAAATTATGGATTGAGATGTGAAGATGATAAAGGATTGTTAATTATGATATATATATATATAAATGCTTGTGAATATTTCATTAAGTAATGAATAATGATGAGATTATGTTATGTTTTCCTTATGTGTTTTACATATAGATATTTTCTTTTCTTACCGTACAATTTGTGGATATTTAGGTGAGGAAGATCCGGCTGCGAGTGACATCTAGAATGTCAACAGTTGATTTATGGGTATGCTCTGATATTGTGACATCGGGGCAGAGAATTTCTAGGACATGAATTGTATTTGTATACGGAGTTGAACCTATTATTTTGAAAATATTTTTTAACCTCTTATATTTTATTTTCCAAGTTTCACTTTCAGAATATTTTGGATATTGAAGAATGTTTCTAAAGGTTTCATGTGAACCCTTTTACCTATTTTGAAAATTTGATTTTCTTAGTTTATTTATATTATTACAATATATGTGTTGGGATAGTAAGGGTGTCATAGAAGACATAAATGCAACAATGTAAAAAAGATTGCACAATGTATAATATAGATTAACATATGCACCTCCTACAATGGTAATTCTAAGTCCATCCTACTCAAACAAATACATTTAAAAAATTTTTTTGTCTATTGTATTACCTTTAGATAAAAATTTCATATAGTTAGAACTTTGTGTCTGTGTCTTTGTAACGGACATGCAACCACATTTGATTTTAATAATATTTATTTCAAACAAAAGGGATAGTTAGCCTTGTAGAGATCCTAGAACTATTGTAATTCTTCTACATATATTTGTAGATAACCTATTGTAATTGTGTCCTTAATTTTGTATCAAAGTCATAAAAGAAAAAGATGGTGATTTGCCCGATTGGTTAAGGGAGAAGATTTACGATTTTCTCCACATAAGTGTGTGTGGATTCGAGTCCTACTGCCAACAATTTTAGTCTTTTTAAACAAAGGAGGTGTATAAGAAAGAAAAAATATGACGGATTTCGCATGCCTTTATCCAAATCCATCAAAATTTGATGAAGATGAAAATGAGTTTTAAAAATATAAATCTATTTCTTTAAAATTCAATTCGAAACCTGTGATGCTTTTTATGAAGACATAGACACGGAAAAACAAAATCCACCTTCGATTCTTTCTATTGTTACCTCTACACATTATTTTTTTAAAATAATTATGATATAAATATAAAGTATTTATCATTAAAAATTAGTAATTAATCTCTGTATAAGATCTCCGCCCTACATATTATTTAATCTCACTCTTTACATTCTCACTCTAGGTCATCTATTTTAATTTTAAGATTATAAATAAATAATAATAATCAACCCAGTAAAAATAACTCAGGCATATTTTTCACAAGAAATTAATTGCCGATAATTGAAAAGAATATCTTCAATAAAAAGCTTCAATTCTAAGAAAATGAAAAAAAAAGCTTATAATTTTATTTTTGCCCATTTATAAAATATATATATATATATATATATGAAATTTTAATATGGTATATATATATATATATAAACCGTTGCGGTCAGAGTGGGACACATGCAATCGGTATTTCTAGCTCCCTTTGTCTATTTCGCAAAATACCGTTACAACAAAGAAACACGCCATTCTCATTCTCACTTCTCTGCGTAGAATCCGGTCCCAGACAAAACACACTCACACACTCTCTCTCAGCCACTCCCACACACACACTCACTTTCTCCATTCACATCTCCATCCTCAAAACGCCGTCGTTTCCCGAAGGCCTCGCATCTCCAAGTGCCGAAGGAGCAGTTGAAGCCTCCCTCCTCCGCCCAGATCCGCTTCCGCTCCTCCTTGGACCTCCTCGCCGCCGAGCTGGAACTCGAATCCGCCGCCATGCTGAAGCGCTCCGGGCGCCCCCCGCCGCCGCCGGCGGAGTCCCTCTTCGACAGGATCTACCAGCTCCGGGGAGCCTTCCTGATGGTGGCCGTGCCTCTCCTTCTGGTGACCATGGTGCTCTACTTCACGCCCTCCGCCTCCTCCAACGAGTCCATCGAGGACTACGCCCTCACGCACCGCAAGGTCTCCCCCGATCGGAGGCCCTCCACCTCCTTCGCCGTCATCTTCGACGCCGGCAGCTCCGGCAGCCGCGTCCACGTCTTCCGCTTCGACCAGAACTTGGATCTCCTTCCCATTGGGAAGGACCTCGAGCTCTTCCTACAGGTGAGTGAAAACCGTGGATTTCGATTTCCCTTTGTAATGTTTTGGTTACATTCCAAATCTATTATGATCTCAACAAACTCGGACAAGTATTAAATTTATTTTAAATTAAGGCTAAAATATAATTTACTCTATACATCTAAACATTCAAACTTTACTGATTGTGCGTGTGCCTAGGATGTCAAAAATACCCGCATCCGCGGCTATTTATGGGTAAAATTTGCTATGGATAATAAATAGATAGGTTAATTGGGTACCCACGGATAATGAGGACGGATAATTTTTTACCCGTCTATAAATGGGGCGGGAGCGGGTATAATGATATTCATACCCGCAGGTACCCGTTTAATAATATTTCTTAAATATCATAATTATCCTTGTACCATATAACCCTAAAACTACACTCTCTCGTCTTATTTTCTTACAAAAGTGAGGTTGATGAAGTTACTAACATGTGTTAAGCATGTTATAGAATTATGTTGGATATAATTTGATTAGTTTTCTAGTTTTGATTGGACCAATAAAGTTTATGTATTTTAAGTTGTTTACTTTCGTTTGGAATTATGAGATTGAATTATTGTAGCTTTGTAATGAGACTTTAACTTACTTTTGAGATTGATGTATTTTAAGTCATTGATTATCTTACATTTTTATTATTATTTCAACAAAATTAAAGTTAAATACAAGTTCAAAATTAACATTGACTTTTTATTTTTAATATTTTAATGACATTAAATAAAGACTTAAAATTATTTATAATATAATTTTTTTAATTTTTTAAAGAATTTATAAATATTCATGGATATCCGTGGGTATTCAAGAAAATCATAGATACCCCCGCTTAATGGATACCCACGCAGATATGGGGTGAGTATGGAGACAATTTTCATCTAGCAAGGCGGGGCAGATTTACTATTACCCGTCCTCATGGGGTCCATTACCATCCCTCTAATTATTAACTCCATATATATTCTTAATTTAAACTCTAGTAATTTAGTCGTTATATATGTAGCTGATTGACACATTCTTAATTTGATGCTCTGTATGTAGGGATTAGAATATGCACTACATGTATAAGTTTGTGAGAGACCAAATTAGAATAAAAATGCACTACATGTATAAGTTAGTGAAAGACCAAATTAACAATGTGTGATGAAATTATTGGTGTCAGGGACTAGGTCTTTAACATTTAACAAGTATATGAATTGATTTAATAAATTTTCATGAATAAGGACTAAATGAGAATTCACGACACATGAAGGGTCTAAATTATATGTTTAACCTTAAATTAGTAATTAATTCATGGTTGATATATTAATACCTTAAAGAATAAACACTCATTTTTCTATGTGAATTGTAAAATTAGTTGTTAAAAGTGTAAATTGGTGATCACATTAGTCTAAAATTTAAAAATGTAGCTAAAATAATATATATATATATATATATATATATATATATATAGGGATTAAAAAGGATAGTTAGTAGTTAATTTTAAGGACTTATTTGACTTATTTTATAATTTTTTTTTAATTTTAGAACTAATTAATAACACCTTCCAAATTCAAAGATCAAAGTGAGTATTTACTCTTCCTTAATCTTGGAAAAATACTCTAATTCACCCCATTTCGAGTGGGTTAAGGCGGAAGAAAGAGAGGTAGGAAGAGGAATGCAAAGGAAGGTAGAAAGAAGTAAGTAAAGGAAGCGAGAAAAAGTGATAGATGTGATAATGGGAAAGGAAGATATAGGAAAAAAATATGTCCATTTAATAACCCGTGCATTTATGATTATTCATCAATTAATTTGAATTAATGAAATTGGATATCACATAGTTTTTAATTTTTTTAAAAATTTATAGACTTGATCTATGTATTAAAAAAATTTAATTTAAGGGTTGGATTGTTAAAATTTGATATAAAATATGAATTATTAAGATTTGTTCTTGGAATAAGTAGATCCTTTCTTTAACGATCTAACTCTTAATTTAAAAGTTTTTAATGCATAGATCAAGTCTGCAAATTTTAAAAGCATTTGAAAATTATTTGATACTTTGTTTTGTTAATTCAAATCAATGTATAAAATATTTTTATGATTACCAAAGTCAATTTGAATTAATAAAACAAAATATCAAATGATTTTTAAATTTTAAAAAAATTTGCAGACTTATATATATAAAGAGGAATCCATTTATTCAAGAAATAAGGAGTAGACTTTAAAATTTTTAATGCATAGCTCAAGTTTATAAATTTTTAAAAAATTTAAAAATCGTTTAATATATTGTTTCATTAATTCAAATTGATGAATACAATGTTTTTATGATTATTTGTCAATTTAAATTAATAAAATGAAATATTAAATAATTTTAAAATTTTTTAAAAATTTATAGACTTAATTTATATATTAAGAAATTTATAAATTCAACTATTAGATCATTAAAATTAAATATAAAACATGAATTATTTTTTTTTTTCTATATATAAATATATATATGAATCAAATGTTGGTTCACTACTTTTTTTTTATTATTATTTTAATTTCAAGTATGATTCTCTTTGTGGGTTAACATTTTTATGGTGTTGCAGATTAAGCCTGGTTTGAGTGCGTATGCACAGAATCCACAACAGGGAGCGGAATCTTTGATGTCTCTTTTGGATAAAGCGGAGAGTGTTGTTCCTCGGGAGTTTCGGCCAAAGACACCTGTTAGAGTTGGGGTGTGTTGTTTTTGTTTATTTATTTATCTATTATATTCATATTCATTGGTGTATCTGAAACTATTTGTATGTTAATACAGGCAACTGCAGGTTTAAGGGCTTTGGGAGCGGATGCTTCTGACAAGATCTTGCAAGCGGTAAACATTGCTGCTGCATCTTGTCTCATGTTAAATGTTTTTAGCATTAGCGGTCATACGTAACATTTTAAACTTATGTTGCTTCCACTGTTTGTTGATGATATAAGGTTCGGGATTTGCTTAAGCTAAGAAGCACTCTAAACTCTCAGCCTGATGCAGTAACTGTGCTGGATGGAACACAAGAAGGTGCTTTTCAATGGGTATGCTTTTTATACTTATTAGTGATTATTTTTAACTTTTGAACGCATTTAGACTATAGGAGAATTGACTAATGACAAGCTTTTAGTGACATGGAATGGATAGTTACAATGCATTGGCTCTTAAGTGAACTTCAACCTCTTTGAAAATATGTAGAGAAATCTAACTAAACAAACCACGGGTATTTAAATGAGAAATCTATAGTCTATACCATGAAAGGCGGAAAATTTTCCAAATTAGCATAAATGCTTAACTCATTGACAATTTTATGAGCTAATTTTAAATGGCTGTGAAGTGACAACCATTGATGGGCCACATTTCACCTTCTCAGAATGAATTTTCACAGGCCAAATCAAAATCAAAATATGAAAAATCTAAGGGACTATGATAATAGTTTATCCATTATTGTATTTTTAATCTATAGAGCCAAGATCTTTTGATTGATTGTCTTGAAAAACAGAGCTGACAAGTTTTCAATATGCTGTTTTACTGAATCTAGCATAATATGTTTTTCATGTGAATAATGTCATTAGCTGACTTAGATCACATTGTTAATATTGTCCCTTGTTTAGCATTAGCATACTTGATTAGGAGTTCAGATAGTGTACAAATGATTTTGGGTGTGAACTGTGAAAGCATTGGGTCAAATGATCTCTGACTTTAATATCAGCAGTGGAATGGTGAAATGATAATTGAGACAAGTTAGCCAGAAATGCTTCATTTCCTTTTCCTGCCCTTTCCTTCTTTATCTATTTTGTTGGTTTGTTATATACTAGAATCCAATAACCGAAGTCGAGTCTGGCGATATACGTTCACAAGATAAATATGACTGTTGGATATTTAACAATTGAAACATTGATACTTGTTTCTCAGTGCCTTCTTTTTCTTTTCTGCATGCTCTTTGTATCATAATCAAATGCTTTTCTTACTGCCATAATTACCTTAAATTGAGTAATTCATTTATTTAAAAAAAATTTTGAGGGAAAATACCTTGTTTAGATAAAGAATTTATAAAGAATTTGAAATTCAATCATTTATGAAATTCCTTGAAATAGTAAAATTTCAAATTCTTCCAAAAAAAAGTAAGAATTTAAAATTTTTTATTTTTTTCTTTTTCTTATTTTACTTATATATTTTATCTTATCTCTTCATGTTTTTAATTATTGAATATTTAAAAAATATTTTTAAATTTATTAAATATTATCTAATATTAATTTTTAAAATTACTAAATATTTAAAAATTAATTAATATTTATTTTTATAAAATCTAATTTAAAAATCTCAACAATAAATATATTTTAAAATAAATTTTATCATGGTGGAATGAAATTATCATATTCAACCTAATAACTTAAAATTTAAAGAATTTTAAATTAACTTATCCAAACAAAATATTTTAAGAATGATAGAAATTGAAATTAAAGTAATTCAAATAGTAAGAATTTAAAATTCCTTAAATTTGTAAAATTTCTTAAATTTGTAAAATTCCTTATCCAAATACACCATAATAACTTTCAATTTTCGGCTTTTAGCCTAAAGTTAGTCGTTGAAACTGAGTTACTAAATTTTTATTAAAACAATTTCTGCTAGGATTTTAATGTTTACTTTTCAAATTGGTGGAATTGTGGAGGGTTACTTGTTTTACAATTTTTTGGGTAAAGTTTGAATTATCACTTTGATCCTTCTTGAAGAATGATTCCTTCAGCTTGGTTGTTTTACAAATATCACAAGCTCTTACCTGAAGTTTCTATTTGAAAACGCTACTAATAGAATTTTCAATTTCAAATTACCATATGTTGCAGAAAGTAGATATAATGTAATGTAATTTCGTACAATCGCAGAAGCTATTTTCCACCTGCTTGGATCTTTTCTTGGGCTCTTATATCTTTTGTACTTGTCCTATTTTGCTGTGTAATTTGCACAATTTTAGATTATATCCATATCGAAAAACATGCTTTACGAATTAATCTTAGTTGTTAATACCTTACCATGGATCTCTGCTTGATTGATTATATGAATAATCACATGACTTTTAACTCGATGTACAGATGGAACATTTTGAAGCCAAAATATGTTGTTCCTTTGTTTTGAATTTCAACGCTTTAGCTTACGCCTCTCTCAAGACTTTAGTCTCTTTCCTAGCTACCTTATATTTTACCTATCAAGCTTTATGACACTGCACCACCACCGATATTCATTATTCATAGGTTTGAAACCTGTTCTTCACTCATTGATTGTCTCTTTAAAAACTGTCACAACTAAAGTTCCGACAGGACAATAGAAAAATATTTATTTAAAAACAGGTAGTTGCTACCAAGGTTTAAGGGGATGTATTGGTTTAGGATTTCATAAGATTTTAAAAGACTTTTTTTGAGTAAAAAAATCTGTTGATATTCGATCAGGATTTTATGTCACTTAAAAACAATCTAGTGATATTCAATATAGATTTTCAAGATTTTTTAAAGAGTCCATTAAAATTCATTGGTATTCATTTGAGACTTTTTATAATTTAAAAATAATCCATTGGTATTCAAAAATATAGGGATTTTAAAGGATTATTATATTAGAAGGATTTTGAAGGACTTTTTAGTAGTATCTATAAATACCAAATTCATAAAACAATCACATCCAAACCCATGAGATTTTGGAGGATTGTTTGAAGTGACTTTTCAACTGTTTTTCATCTTTTTTTTTTCCTATGCTCATGTCTGCTCCATTTTTTTTCTTTTGCTAATAATATTGCACTACTGTTCATATATAATACTGTATTACTGTTCCTATTTCATTCTCTTATTTGGTGAAACTTCTATACGTAAATGATAGTGTCATTGACTTGCTCTATTTTTCTCTCCGTTCTCTTTAATTGACTTGTTCTATTTTGCTCTATTTAGTTGAGATTGTTCCTCAATTATATAACACAAAAAAAACTTGAAAATTTAATTTTTAAGTAATAATTTTTTTTATAACCGCATCAAGAAAAGGGAAAGGTGAAAGCTAAAATTGATATCATGATCTCTATAATCAACTATAGATCTTTAAGTCCTTGTAATCAATTTAGATTTATTAGAACAATATATATATATATATATATATATATATATATATTCTACATCAAATTTATCCGTCAATTTGAATTAATGAAATGAAGTATCAAATGATTTTCAAATTTTTTAAAAATTTGCAGATTTGATCTATGCATTAAGAAATTTAAATTGAACGGTTGGATCGTTGAAATTTAATGTAGAACATGAGTTATTGAACGGAGTAAGTCTAGGTAGACTTACTCTTGGAGTAAAAAGATCTCTCCTCTCTGTCTCTCTCTCTCTCTCTCTCTCTCTCTATATATATATATATATATATATAATGAATTTGAGTTACAGTTTTTGTGAGTAGGATGAGATAAGCACAAAAATTGCAATCTCTCCCTCTCTTGAATTTGTTACTATTATCCTTCCCCTTTTATGACTCAACAATTATTTTATTTATTTTTTTTACTATAAATTTTATTTTTTTAATTTTTATATTGTGAAATTAGGATTTTTATATTTTAAAAAAGAAAATTAACATAAGACATTGCAGTATCTTAGAATTTAATATCAAAAATATTTCTGCATGAGTGAATAATTGAAAGCAATTAAAACAATTATTTTGTACCTGTAACAAATTTCATATATTTTTTTTTCTACTAGTTGATGTTTATAAATTTCTAAAATATTTTAAATGAATAAAAGTGTATGAAGACAAACTTTCACTTAAATACCAATATAAAATGAAAGGACATATTTAGTTATAAGAGAGTAGGGTAGTTGTCCCACTATTTTTTTTAATTATTTATAAATTTATAAATAAAATATTTTAAATCACAAATTATAAAAAAATTGAAATGTTTAGAATAATTTTTAACATGTGTAGTACTATTTAACTTTCTTCGTAAAGAATGTCAGTATGATGAATTTTCAATTGGAGTGGTAGACGAACCTTCATTTTCAACATTACTAGTTAGGGAAAATCATAATTTTGAGCCTATTATTAAAACTCAGGAGAAAGAACGAAAAGATGTTAATGCTTGGAGGATTAGTATAACTATGAACATGTTGGTAATGCTATTTAGAATGACATAATATTATGGAAAATTATTATTATTTATCTAGTCATTGTTGTTTTTTTAATTATTTTTCTCTTTGACTTTTTTTAAATTTGAATGTATGAAAAAAAAATCTTGAACTCTTATTGTATTTGCAAAGTTCACAAAGTCCCGTAGAATTCATTAAAATCCTAACTTAAAAGAATTGTAGAATTCATTAAAATCCTCATTGAAAGTCTTGCAAAATCCTACAAAATCTTAAAAGTCATGAAAATCCTGCAAAGTCTTTTAAAATCTACAGGACTTTTTTCAACTATAAAAGTCTTTTAAAATCCTAATCCGATACACCCCCTTATTTTATAGGAAAAACTAAAAAAAACTTTTAAAATAAAAATGGGTCTTTGAAACTAGATTTGGGTTCAAGAGTCAATTGCATAGAGGTGTTAGCATCCTACAATGGTCCTAGAATAGTAACTTTTAATTAAATGTGTAAAATTTAGGTAACTTTAAAAATATTTATTTTGTCCCTCCAAAGAAAACAATAATATTCTTTAGTTGTTTTATTTATTTATTTTTCAACATGAGAAACTTAATCATTTAAAACAAATTTATTATTTTTGAAATAAGGGGAAAATTGAAGATTATATATTTTTATCTTTTTAACTCAACAAGAATAGTCCTTTGTTCCCACATATTGTTGGGTGCAATTAGGAATCAATGTTACATAGTTTGTTTTTAGTACAAAATGTTTGTGTTGATGTTTTTAACTTTCTTTTTATTATTTAAAAGGCTACCATGATCTCCAAATTGAAACTTAGAAGTGCATCCAAAGTGGTTATTATTGTCTTCTAAGAGTGAAGTATCCAAGAGTATTGATATTAAATAAGGTTCTCATAATTTTTTTAAAGCTTGGGTACTTCATTGATATGTATTAGTAAAGTATCAAGAATATTGGTATCAGTATCAAATATGGATATGCAAAGCAATTGAAATATCAATGTTTCAAACACCTTTGTGAAGAATCATATCAAATTGAAGGAATCATTCCACAATTCTTGCCATATTGATAACATTGAACCTAGCCTTTTTAACATCAGTACATTATTTATTCTTCTAAATCTTATCTACTGTTATGCCCACCACATTTCTAGATCTTACTCTGCTTGTGTACCAAAGCTTAAAGTATCAAATCCCCTTGCCTTTTCAACAAGTAATAGTTTCTTTTAAACACTAAAAAGTAATTTTTCCTCTTAGTCATTGTATCACTTATTTCCATACGTTTCCTTGTTAGTGTTACTTCTAATTTCTAAGCTCCTAAATGAATCAATATCATGATCTAGCTACTTTGCCCATGCATGTTCAAAAAAATGTGCAAATCCTTGCATATTTTTCACTACACTGGGGTGCTAATATAGTGGCCTTGCAATTGACACTGTACTTGAGCCATACAAGTTATTTATGTGTAATGACCTAACATAAACAAAATCACATCATCTCTCTGTGTCATAAAGATTTGACAAAGTTCTACGTTGGCTGTCAACTGCATAACACAATTTTTATTAGCATTTTTTTCCTTTTATTTGAAGAGGTATAGGAGCAAGGCTTAGATGTATCAGACATGGGGTTGGAAATGTTAGTATATGATAGTTGTCAAGGAAATAGTTGGTGGAATAATAGAAACTTATTTGTATTTAGATAGTAATAGTAGTAGTGATAATTGTTGTTGTTGTTCCAATGAAATCCCAATTTGCCTATTTATAGGCATGATGTTCCATCTCTAGATGATAGTGGAAATATCTAGAATTTTCTAGACTCTTAAAGTCTCTACACTCTTTTAGATTTTTCTAGAGACTTATACAACTTTTCTTATGTTTCTAGAATTTTCTTTTTCTTTTCTAGAATTTGCATCATAATTTAACAGGAAATACAATCTAAACTTAAAGAATGCAAGCCTTTGGAACACTGGAAAGCTTGAGTCCTAACCTCTTATTTCAAGTTCTTGATATATGAAACCAACTAAAATACACTGCTAGAAAAAACTTGCATGGTTCAAGAGTGGACTAAATTTTGTAATGTAAACTATAAGCAGCATGGGAAATTAAGATGTTGTGTACTCTCCTCTACAGTATTTTGTTAGTCATACCTTGCCTTTTGTTTTATCTTAGGTGACTATTAACTATCTACTGGGAAACTTGGGAAAAGATTATTCAGAAACTGTTGGGGTAGTTGATCTTGGAGGTGGATCTGTTCAGATGGCATATGCCATCTCTGAGACAGATGCTGCCAAGGCTCCAAAAGTATCAGTTGGAGAGGACCCATATGTCAAGGAGATGTTCCTAAGGGGAAGGAAATATTACCTCTATGTTCACAGGTTTTCTTCTTGCCCTTGACCCATTCTGAGATGTTATGTTTTATGGGATCTGGGAGCGCCCACTTCCGTAGTCTTTCAGCTAGATAGATATTCTGTAATACAATTCCATCTTCATGGTCAATAGGTTTTAGCATTTTGCTTTCAGTTACTTGGGCTATGGTTTACTAGCAGCTCGTGCAAAGATTTTAAAGGTTTTGGATGGTTCTGGAAACCCTTGCATCTTAGATGGCTTTGACGGTAAATGTTACTTTGGCTTTCTGCATGATTGGCTGACTGGCTCTATTTTGATCCCAATAATAAGTTTTATTTTAAAACATCCGCAGGATCTTACAATTATGGAGGAAAATCTTTTAAGGCCTCGTCCTCCCCTTCTGGCGCAAGCTTGAATGAATGCAAAAGCATAGCTCATAAGGCTCTCAAGGTTAATGGGTCAACATGTACACATATGAAGTGCACTTTTGATGGGATATGGAATGGTGGTGGGGGTGATGGACAGAAAAACCTTTTTGTTGCCTCATTTTTCTTTGACCGGGCAGCTGAGGTATTCATTATTTTATTCAACCATGACCAAATACTATCCCTTCATTTAATGCAACTTTGCCATGCTAATCATGTTATTTATTCATTCATAGGCTGGTTTAGCCGATCCAAGCTTACCCGTTGTGAAGGTTCGTCCTACGGATTTTGAGGAAGCAGCTAAGCAAGCTTGTCAAACAAAACTTGAAGATGCCAAATCCACTTATCCAAGTGTGGAGGAAGGGAACCGTCCATATTTATGCATGGATCTCGTATACCAGTATACTTTGCTTCTTGTTGGATTCGGTAGGTTTTGTTTTTGTACTGGTGTTGGAAGTTGGAACAGTAGTGCATGATGATGATACTTTCTGTGAAATCTTCTATTTTTTCTTTTTTGGGTCAATCTTTCTGCAAAATCTTGAGTAATGGTATTATCTTCCTGCACTGACTGGATTCATGTGTTGGCAGGCCTAGATCCATGGCAAGAAATTACGTTAGTGAAGAAAGTTAAATATCATGATTATCTTGTTGAAGCTGCATGGCCCCTAGGCAGCGCTATAGAAGCTGTATCATCTGCATAATGACACCAATAGAATAATTACTCACCTCAAGTCTTGTGGGGTGAGTTCTATCGCAAGCTTTTTTGAGGTGAAGTTGCCTCCATTCATGATGATCAGAAATTGCTATCAGGTCAAATTGAGATTAGATACGGGGCTACATTTCAAGAATAACTAGCAGATAGCTTCATTATTTTCATTTGTAATTATTTTACTAAAATATCTTATTTACAGCTTCGGAACTCCGATCCAATTCATTTTGTATTTGTTCATCTATTTTTGTAGTCGTTAGAGATGAACATGACGGTGATGGTGGTAGCATTCTTTTTTTATTCATTCCTGATAAAAAAAAAAGAAGCAAGTGTTCTTTGCTTTCTTACTTCTTGACCCGGAGTTGGCATGCACTTTGGTATTCAGTAATCTGGATTTTTTATTTGAATGTTATTAATGATAAACACTTAAATCCAATAAAAATACTTTCTCTATAATGGGTGACAATTACGAAGTGTAACGTTGGAAATAAAGGTTGTTAATGAGGCCCATCAATAAAGCTGAGCCCACTGACAGAAAATACTAGACCATAGTCCATCCTAGCTAATATCAAATTAAAGGTTGGAATCAATGCGTGTGGTTTAGCGGTAAAGGTTGATCCACGCTTAAGCAAGGTCAGGAGTTTGAATCCTGCTTTGTGTATGCAACCGTATTAAATTTTGGGGCTAGCTATCCCACCCTTTAAGCTGCCTCCCTCGCAGGAAATTAATCATCGGCAGTGATACTTCAGAGACGAAATAAAATAAAATTAAAGGTTGAAAATTACTACTTGCACCCTCTTTTTATTTCTACACTTTTCTATTTTTTTTTGTAATTTTTTTTACAATACACTTTTAAAAAACTAAATACGGAAGTTTTAAAGTTGAAATACATCTAGCTAAGGATGAGAATAGCTTCTAATGTTAATTCTTCTTTGCTATGTTTCGTCACATTACTGTGCAGTAAGGTCATGATGATATATTCTTGTGAAGATGCGAACGGTGTTGGCTTTGGTAAGGCAGAGATCAATGAGCATCAAATATGCTTCAAAAAGACGTTTATTCCTTTTGACCCAAAGCAGTGAAGCACCCCAGATGAGCTCAAATATTAAAGAGAGCTTCATCATCAGCGTTATACAATAGGGGGTACAAGGTGATCCAATCCATGAAGGTGCAATCTTCACATGAGACATGACCAAATTTGCTTTGATTGGATATTCTTGCTGTTCACAGTATTTTTTAAAAATTTAGTTTTCCAAATGTATTTAATATGTTTCGGAAATTAAATTTAAAAGCACCTATTAATTATAAATAAAAAAACGAATTTAATTTTCAGGAAAAAAATATTAGCTGAGCAAAAAAGTCTTGATCCATTAATTAGCAAAACCCACATGAACCCCCTGTAAACAACTTAACAAGATTTCATGTCCTACAAACTTAACTTGAAATGAGAAACTAGGCCCACCCATCCCAAAATAATCAATAATATCAACTTAACGCGAAAATAAATGAACAAGGTGGGAAACGGAAATATCAAGAAAAGAACGAAAAATAAATAAATAAATCAACGAGTGGATGGTTTAAGGGCATGTAGATAAGTTTTTCCAAAAGCACTTATAGAAAAGAAAATGCAAAAAAAAATTTTGAGGGAAAATACCTTGTTTAGATAAAGAATTTATAAAGAATTTGAAATTCAATCATTTATGAAATTCCTTGAAATAGTAAAATTTCAAATTCTTCCAAAAAAAAGTAAGAATTTAAAATTTTTTATTTTTTTCTTTTTCTTATTTTACTTATATATTTTATCTTATCTCTTCATGTTTTTAATTATTGAATATTTAAAAAATATTTTTAAATTTATTAAATATTATCTAATATTAATTTTTAAAATTACTAAATATTTAAAAATTAATTAATATTTATTTTTATAAAATCTAATTTAAAAATCTCAAC